AATCCAGGATTTGTTGAGAAAGAAGAGAACCGCCCACCAAGCACACTTTGCACTGCTATCCTATCACGCCAGAAAAACGGTCTTTCATCTTGCATGCAGCAAACTCCAACAGAAACTCCGTGACATCCAGAACAAGGGGTGGATCAGTCTAGCTGAAAAAACACAATTATGTGCAGATACGAGTGATCACAAAGGATTCTGTGAGGCCCTGAAAACAGCATATGGGCCTGCATACCAAGTCTAAAGCCCCCTACTCAGCACTGATGGTCAAACTCTTCTAACAGATAAAACCTCCATTCTTAATCGATGGTCTGAACTCTTTCAGACTCTTTTCAGTACCAACCGTGTAGTCCAAGACTCAGCAGTTCAGTCCATCACACTACAACCGGGCAAATACGAATTGGATACTGCCCCCACTTTAGGAGAAACCCTCAAGGCCATACAGCAGCTGAAAATCGGCAAGGCAGCTGGGGTTGATGGAATTCCACCCGAAGTCTGGAAACATGGAGTCTTGCACTTCATGCTAAATTTCATGAGTTTGTGGTGGGCTGTTGGGAACTAGGCGAACTACCATCTGACCTTCGAGATGCAGTCATCATCACTTTGTATAAGAAGAAAGGTACTAAATCAGACTGCTCAAATTACCGTGGTATTACTCTACTCTCCATTGCTGGCAAAATCCTGGCAAGAATACTCTTGAACAGACTAATACCCGCTATAGCAGAAGGAATTCTACCTGAAAGTCAGTGTGGTTTCAGAGCCAACAGGAGTACCACAGACATGGTGTTTGTTCTCAGACAACTGCAAGAGAAGTGTAGGGAACAGAACAAAGGTCTCTATGTAACCTTTGTCGACCTCACCAAGGCTTTCGATACTGTGAGCAGAAAAGGTCTGTGGCAGATTTTGGAACATCTAGGTTGTACCCTCAAGTTCTTTAAAATGGTCATCTCACTCCATGAGGATCAGCACGGCCAAGTCAGATATGACAATGCACTTTCTGAGCCCTTTCTAATAACTAATGGTGTGAAACAAGGCTGCATTCTCGCACCATCCCTATTCACAGTCTTTTTCAGCATGATGCTCCAAAGGGCCACGGCAGACCTCGATGATCAGGACGGTATCTACATCCGATACCGTACTGATGGAAGCCTTTTCAACCTAAGGCGACTGAAGGCCCACACTAAGACCTTCAACCATCTTGTCCGGGAGCTGCTTTATGCTGATGACACCACCCTTGTTGCGCACACAGAAGCAGCTCTGCAGCGTTTAACATCCTGCTTTGCAGATACTGCTGAGCTTTTTGGTCTGGAAGTCAGCTTAAAGAAGACAGAAGTTCTCTATCAACCAGCACCTCAGGAAGTCTTCCATCATCCCCATATCACCATTGACCAATCAGAGTTCGAATCAGTCCAGCAGTTTAATTACCTAGGTAGCCTCATCTCCTTGGGCAGTAAGATTGATGGAGAGATAGACAACAGGTTAGCAAAGGCATACAGTGCCTTCGGAAAGCTTCATAAAAGAGTTTGGTGAAATAAACACTTGAAGAAAAGTACCAAGATCAGTGTTTACAGAGCCATTGTGCTGTCTACTCTCTTATATGGTTCCGAATCATGGGTCATCTACCGCCACCACCTGCATCTCCTAGACCACTTCCATCAACACTGTCTCCACACAGTCCTAAACATCCACTGGTCAGATTATGTGACCAATACATCTGTTCTAGAACAGGCAGCAGTCACAAGTATTGAGGCCATGTTGCTGAGAACACAACTGCGTTGGGCAGGACACGTCTCAAGGATGAAGGACCACCACCTCCCTAAGATCTTGCTTTACGATGAACTTGTCACTGGCTGCCACAAGAGAGGAACCCCAAAGAGAAGATACAAGGACTGCTTGAAACAACATCTCAACCTTGGCCATATTGATCATCATCACTGGTCTACTCTGGCCTCCAATCGGTAGGTCTGGAGACACACCATCTATAACACTGCTGGTGCTTTTGAGAAAGCACACAGGATCACTCTTAAGGAGAAAAGACAACACAGAAAGAATCATGTCTTGCAGAATTTACCACCTAAGGAGTCTTTCTACTGTGCCTTTTGCAACCGGACGTGCCTCTCTCATATTGGCCTTCTTAGCCACCAATGCACTTGCAACAAACGTAGGTAGAGCCCTTCCCAAATCTTCGTTCACGAAGCCCAGCCATGATTTGATTTTGAGTACTAGGATTTATTTAAACATTTCATCCATATGAATGGGGGTTTGCCTACTTTGTATTCCATAAATTGGTGAGCATGTTTTGGAATTTGTGGGAAAGAACTGATCTGTCATGATGTGTTTTGGGTTGTTTCTTAATATATAGCATTCAAACACTCAGGATATGTAGCAGGTAGATACAGAGAAGGACTGTGATTTGATGGAGATTGAAGAGAAAGGTTTTGAGGGAAGGTGTAGGGAAAATGGATATGCAGGTCAGGAAGCACAGAGCTGAGTGGGAGGGGAAAAAAAGAATTTGCCTTCTTGAACCATTCATATGATTAGTATGATATTGATATAATCAGCTTACTTTTGAGACTTTTCTTCCATGGTTCTTTGCTCTGTGATGACTACTGGTTGGAGTTTAGTTGGTCAAGTAAGGAACATGCTGACTTTTCTCAAGTGATACTCAACTAGGGAAAAGTTGGAAGCTGCTGCTGTCTAAAATAGCTATCTGTGTTAAAAACTCCATATGAACAATAACTATACTTAGCATGGTATGCTTAAGCAGTCTTGAGGAATTGATAATGCTCTCCTTGTGCTCAAATTGGAGGTACTTCTAAAATTGCTTCTTTTATAGTCCATTCATCTATCCTGTATTCAGATCTGTATTGAAAAATTGGTGAATGTTGTTTCACTGTGTTCCGACAGTTGATTGCAAAAAATGGTTTTGTAGTGCAGGGAAACAAAAGCTTTTCCTTCTGTTTCTTACTCTACACTCAAATAGCATATAAAAAGAAAAGCTATAAATTATGTACCTTAGGTAGACATAAGTTCATAGTGTTACATGGAATTTTATAGGAGTTAAATGGAAATAAATGAATGTGTTATCCTGGGTGCAGTGGTCTTTTCCCAGTTTCCACTATTCCCAGAATTGAGTTGAGCAAATATAACAAATCAGAAATGGAGGGTAGGAGTAGCACATGCTGGTACTGTAATTTAAACACATGGTCTGTGAAACATTACTGTGCACTGTTTTTACATCTGTGTTATCTTAACCTGTTTTCATTGCTTTGCAAAATTGACCAGCAGAAAAGTGAGAAAGCATTCTCCAGTATGAAGGTTTATGTATAGTCCAGTATATATAGGGTAGTCTTTACTATGCTGTTCCATGTTTTATAAATAAATAGGCTAAAAAAAGAAATAAAGAAATCATACTGCATGTGGCATGTTTCTCAGTGGAGCTGAATATTTGAAAACATACACAACCAGAGATGCAATGTGCTTGCAGTACCTTGCTGAGGTTTAAACCCAGCCACTAAACAGTTTAAATCATTGGTGTGACAATCAGAGGGAAGTCATGTTCATCCAAAACATAGCCCAGTACTAGCCACTGGGCTAGTAGTGAAGAAAATTAACTCTATCCCAGACAAAACCAGCACATATGTGTATTAAATGAGCTGTATTGTGACCCTACTACAGTGTGTCTGTAACTCTTTGACCTGGAATTGTTCATGTGCATGTTTAGAGAGGGTAAAATATATATATCTTAAAACAGTTTTAGAAACCAGTTTGTGGTATGTTCTACCTTATAACAGAAAGTACCTTCAGTGATTAGAATGTGATAAGTAATTCTGTATCAGTAGTTGTTTTGGTGAGTACTGTCCCATTTTATGTTCTTCTGAATTTAAATGTGTTGGTTTTGCTGAAGTAAATGAAAATGGGTTTTCCATGTAATCCAGAAAAACTTAATTTTAAGGATAATTAATCTAAGAAAAGAATGATACCAAGTTAATGATGCATTGGATTCGAATTGGTAAAAAAATCTGAATATGAGTTTCAGTTGATACCAGTTCTAAATGAATGGATAATCAACTTCGTTGTCAATGTTCAGTGTGTATTGGGAGTTGTATTTTTGTCAACATGTACTTCTCTGTGTTGCTTAATTACATAAAGATAGCATTGATGCTTGTTACGAATAACCTACATTTGTTGTTCATTAGCAAAACATGCTAATCACATAGTCAAAAGGTGAAGTAATCATTCGTTACACATTTGTATTTTCATTGAATTGAATACGTTTATGAATGACAGTGCTGAATGTACTTTCCATTTTTTTCGAAACAGAAGTTAGGCTCTGCAAAGGGCTGGGTGGATTACTTGGCAGTCTCACTGTCCTCATCTTTTCATGTTAAGTTGAAAGGCAACTGCGCATCACTTTTACATTACTGCTTTAGTGTGAATGGTTACTTAAATTGCCACAGAGAGATTGTTCAGTTGTTAAGGGTGAGGGGAATAATCTGAGGACATGGTCTATGCACAACAAGTTTGAGAAGACTAGTGGTTACTTACTAGCCAGCTCATTACCACTCCCTAAGCACTGAATATGAACTCATCATGCCAAGGTACTGGACTGTGCTTGAGATTCCAGACATAACTGACTTTGTTTGAAAGTCTGTGAAGTCGCATTTAAAAATGGCAAATCAATGAGAAGAGGGAAGATAATGTTTAATTCAAGGATACAACATCTAGTTATGGTACAGCAGTCTAGATTACGATATTCATGATGACCCTTATCTCCCGCTCTGATTGCTACAGCTGTTGGTTGGGAAAATGATGGTAGCCAGTGTAAGGGTTTGAGAATCTGACATACAGTGATGCTTGGAGAGAATCCAAATGTTCTTGTTTGGTTTTGAATGTGGCTGTTGTTGGCAGGCTTAACTTTTTGTTGTTAAACTTTCTGTGTGAGCAGGTCAGTGCTGTGAATGCATGACTGTCCTAACTCTCGCTTTGTTTTGTCTTAGTCATATTGATCAAACAACAACATGGCAAGATCCTAGGAAGGCCATGCTCTCCCAGATGAATGTTACAGCTCCCACTAGTCCTTCTGTGCAGCAGAACATCATGAACTCAGCATCGGGTAAGCAAAATCTGTATTTATGAAAAAATCATGCAAATAAACTACAAGCTATTGTAATTGGGAAGAACATTTAAGAAATGTTCTTCTAGTTATCCTGGTTTAAAACTTTAAATTTGTTCATGTCTGATGCATCAAGCAAGAAGCTGATACTTGAAGTAAGAGATTTTTTATAATAATTGTGTTCATAATAGTCATGTTTTTATAATATTTATATTTATGCTGTAGTTCTTTGATTTGTGGTTTTTTTTCAAATGAATGGTTCAAATTTCTTAGGAAGCAGAATTTCTAGTTTCTTCTGGCTAAAAATACTGTTAAATTGATAAAGACCAGAATTTCCTTTAAATTAATATCAATTTACATTAAAGCTTTTGTGCTTCTGCACTGTTCTTCTGCCTCCCCTTACTCACTGACTGGATGTAGTATACTGCCATTTATTTACATTTCCTACATTTATTATGAACATCTCATTTTTTCCTGTCTTCTGTAAATGCATCAAGTGAACACCTAGCAAATCCTGTTTAGAAGCAGAGGTGTTTTGGTTTTCCTCTTGTTTTTCTATTATTTCCAAAATCCAGTATCATAATGATTATTTCTATAGCTGAGAAAGTCTGATGTCTTTTCCTGGAATACAGAATTGTTTTCAACTGGTCTGGGGGGGCCATCACGAGGTAGCAGTAAAGTGTTCTTGTTCTTGCTATAGAACCTGCTGTATGTTTTCAGAGCTCTCTTGTCCTTATTATGCAGACAGCAAGCAGATAAATTTGGTGCCATGCTAGTTTGAACGCTATAGTCTTTCCCTTGCTTTGTCCCCTTCTGTCTGTCACTGAGGTTCATGTTATATTTATTTTCTCACAGTCTGATTGTATTTTGTGTATGTCTGCTGTTCCTGTACTACATAAAGGTTATTCTCTGGTGCTGCTCTTTGTGGTCCATTTAGGCAGTTTTGTTTCATGCTGCAATTCATGTGCTGCAGACAATACTGAAAGATTAATAGGCGTGACCAAACTGTGCTGTTCATGACTGAGTAGTAGAGGGGAAGTTAATCAAACTTTTTGCTGGCTAGGCCAGGAGGCTGGATTATCCTGAAACAAATGAGTCCTGTTCAAGTTCAGGAAGTCATGATTCACAGCAATTAAGGTCTCAGGCTCTTATATGAAAATAAAATAGCTTGATTATTTTTTCTGTAAATCTGTCTCAGGAAATCTGCAGCAATAGAGATGGCATGTTTTTGCAGGGACACTTCTGAAGAATAGAGAATAGGAGAAAGGAAACAATTCCCTTGGTCTATCTTGCTTTTTGGCTTATCTTGTTTGTGCTAAAACAAGGTGCTTGCTGTTTCAATATTGACATAAATTCTGTATTTTCAGTTAACTCCTCAAACCTTCAGTTGTACCAAGAATTAATAGGAAAAAATACTGGTAGTAAAGTAGGATTCATTTTAGGTACTTAAAAAGAAATTAAGAGTCCTTAGCAAAAAAATTACCTTTAATTGTAACAAGGTAACAAACTAGAAGAGAACCTAGCAATCAGCACACAAGGATTATATTTGAAAGAAAATAAAGAATTTACATGTAATTGCCTGATGTGTGTCAGTGAGTGGTACCACATGGATATTGTTGCTCATGCAATAAAAAACAGCTCAGATGTTTAAGTGGGTTGTCTTGTGATTTGAGAAAGCACTTATATAAACACAAGTTTATTGAACATTTATTTTTAATTTCACATATCACACTGTGTTGAATATTAACTGAAAATCATGTAAAGTTTTTTTCCACCAGTACTCTGAATTGGATAAAGTGCATGAAGAACTCAGAACTTCTCTGTATACTGAGTTACATGTTTACATGGTGTTAGGGTTTTTTTAAGCTTAAATCAGTTGAGGTAGTATGACTTGGAACTGGCTATTTGGATGCATCTGCTTACCCTTATCTTATTTACTATTAACAAAAGTCTGCTTGGAATTAAATAATGATGAACCTGCATTTATTGGGTACAGTTCTTTTTCTGATACCTGATTTGGCAAATGTTTAGTACTAACTTTAAATTATGACTGTATATTTATTTTTCCTAAAGTCTCTTATATCTATTTTTGTTGTTTTTTACTACTGAGTTCACGGTAGCTTATGCTTCCATGTTGACCTCTTAAAAATCTTTGAGAGAAATGGAAAAATCAAGTAACTCTTGTACCATTTCAGCATAGTGGAACTTAAATCTTAGTGTCAACGTCATGGCTATAAGACTGCTTAATGTTCTAATTTGGATATTCATCCTCAAGAACTGGGAAATAAAGCTGAGACCTTTAAGACAGAAGTTTCCTGTTATGAAATATTGCTGGCAATGAAACATGCCCTAGTGCTATGAGAGTCTTTCATGAAAGATATTGGGAAAAACTGAGCGTAAGTATTGTGACAGCTGGAGGTCAGTGGCTTGCAAAAATAGGTCTGAAATACCACAAGGGAGAATGTTTTGCTTTCTGTATAGACCTTGTATAGTGCTCGTTAATTGTAACCCTTAATCAAAGTTACTGTCCGAGTTTTAGTGTACCACCATAGGAGCTTGTGATAAAGTTACTGTAATAAAACGCAAAAGAGATTTTTGGGAGCTGTCTCGAAAGTCTTTAGGAACTTTAACTGTTTAGCCAGAATTAGAATTCCCATCATTAACTAGAATTAAGAACAGGAAAACAAACAGAAGAGGCAGAGAGAGGAGACCTCTGAAAGCTGCTGTGTGCATATTGGAGATAAATCTATTGTCTTTTTGGATAAATAGGGAAAGTAGAACCCAGAGAAAATGGGAAGAAAGCATTACTAGAAGGTTTGGTAAGGGTAAGGGCAAGTCAAAAGATTGTTTAAAATATAAAAATGGGAAAGATGTAGTTTAGCATGAGGTTGAAATTTTTAGGTTGTTTTAAGAAATTCCATCTCTTCACGCACCTAAGACTGGATGAGAACCCATGTATCTTTCTGCATGTAATGTTCCTTTGAGGAAGTTAATAGAAATCTAATCCAGCTTTATCTGTTCCTGAGATGATTTAGTGAATGAATTATTTTTTGAGTGTTAGTTAACATGCTACCTTTACAAGAAGGCATCAGAGTGAAAAGTGAGGGTTTTTTTTTTGTCTCAGTCCTCCTGATCTTAGCTTGCTACACATAATCAACTAAAATAATTTGGGCCATACGTATGCAGAGAAAGCAGCCCAGTGCTCTTTTAGATGGCATTTGTTGGTTTATCTTCTGTGAAATACAATTGCGTATTCACATCAGTAGTGGGAAGGAAACAATCTGCTTAATTGTAAATATCCCACATATATATAAAAATTATTTGTGACTGTTCTGATTTTTTTTGTTGCTTCTAACCATTTTTTCCCTGAAGGTATTACAGAAGAAACTATGTTCTTCTGTCTTCATTTAAAACAAACAAACAAACAAAAGTAATAATAATGGTACGTTGTTCTTCTGAGGAACATCTCCTACACATCTCTTACTGAGGTAAAATTATACATTTGAAAATAAACAGTGGCTGTTTCTTACACAATTGCAGTTGATATAACAGAGGTGGGATAGTAATTGTAGTTACATACTTTGGTTCTTCAGATACTTTTACTTTCTGAATCATGTTTGACAGCACTGCTTACTTTAGCCTCTTCCGCTTGTGCACAGACCTTAGATAATTAGCTTTGGAGCAGATTACTTGTCTTTGTCCTCTTTTGTCTTCAGTCTTATGTGGCAGTTTTCAGTTAGGTTTCCCAATGAGAGTTTATTGACCTAGTGCAATTCTTTTGTCTCTTAAGGTGAGACTGTAGTACCATGTTAAAGGTTGGTAAGAAAATGAACACTCAAATTCATAACTTATGGGTGATAGGAGGGTAAGAAGGAATATGCCAGTAAATAAAACAAGTTCTAACTGTTCTCTTAGGTTCTTACTCACTTCAATTAGATGTTTCTCCTCTGCGTAGCCAGTCTTACTACAAATTCTGCTTTGTGTACAGTCAACACTATATACGATCTGTTGTGAAAATCAAGTTTCTAAGTATTTCCATGACAGTGATGTTCATTGCTTTCTTCATGTGCAAAAAACACCCCTTTTTAAATAGTGTCCATTTGCAATTTTTACTAATTTGACAGGATAAATATCTACTCTAGGTAAATTTTGTAGACTTCACTATAATTTTAAAAGTTTTCGAATTACAGTGTCAGTGCATGAAGGGAAAAATTTCAGCTGTCACAGAAAAAGATTAGGAAAGTTCTTGGAGATCAGTGTTTGTATTAGGTGAGGTGATTCCTGTTGTTGAATATAGGTGTTCTAGTTCCTTCGTTGTCTATACATATTCTTTTAGTATATAGATACAGCTACCCTCTAATATACTTTGACCTTTTGATAAAATATGGCTTTCTTTACATTTATTTTACAATTAAATCTAAAACTGTAGGGACTTGGAAGACTCCCTGTGTATCCCAGTATAGTTGGAATCTCTACTAAATTTTTTCTTTGTTACTCTTGCTGTTGTTCTCTGCCAGAAGCAAGCTCTGCTTTGCATTCCATGTTTCATGGCATATGAGAAGGTAAATAAAATCTCACAAAACGTGGAGACGTGCACCAAAGAGACATGTACACAAGCTTTTGAAATTACATGTTATTTATATTAAGTTACACCATTATATGAATATTTAGTTACAGAAGAATGCCTTGTCAGTAGTTATGTACAGATGGCTTACATTTGGAAATTGGAATTTAATTTTTTTATGACTTTGTCCTTAAAAGTACCACAGTGCAGGGTGAGTTGCCTAGAAGGGTTGTCTCTTCCTTTGCAAATAATCTCATAGAATTGTAAACTTATGATTGTGATAGTGTTCTATTGACCTAAGAAGCACCAAACAGAACTGGTAGGAGCCCATTTCACAGGGATATTGTTGGTGGGCAGACTGGAAAAGTACTTGAAAGATATTTTGGGTACCTAGTAAGCAGACAGAATCTAGTTCAAGGAATAACTTGAGATAGAATCAGAGAATATCCTGAGTTTAGAAGGGACCCACAAGGATCATTGAAGTCCAACTCCTGGCCCCTACACATAAATGTCCCAAGAATCCCACCATATGCCCAAGAGCATTGGGCAAATGCTTCTTGAACTCTGACAGACTTGATGCTTTGATCACTTCCCTGGAGAACCTCTTCCAGTGCAGAGCATACTTGGAGGCCAAGGGACTATTCATAGCCTCTTTAGCTTTTAGGTCTATTTGTGTATTCAGTGCTTTATTTAAAAGTTTGTAGACTATGGCGCTCACTAAATGGGCTGTTTTCAGTAACAGGATCTGTCCATCACATCAGGCTAGATGTCTGGACTAAATGGACCTTTGGTTAGACCCATCATTGCTGTTTCTGTACCACGTGGGCTACAGTAACTGTGGAAATTTAGTGAGAAGGTCTGAAGAGCAGCAATATAGGGCTTAGATAACTGAGGTCACAAAAGCTAATGCTGGAAATTCTGTTCCTATTGAGCCTTTTGGATGAAAAGGGACATATAATTGTGAAGGAATTTTCCTAGATGCACTGGATGAATGTGCCTGCTATTCCACAGCATGGTTTTCCGTCTTTCCTCTGGTACTTGCCTCTAATACAGAGTTTGTCAGACAACCAGTTAGAAAATCAGACTTCTAGTTTCACAGTTACTCACAAAAACCCAACAGGAATTACAGAAAGCAGTGCTAATCAATTTTTGAACTACCATTTCAACATGTAAGGATGACAGCAGAAATACGAGAGCAGTTTGTTGTCCAAGAAGAAAGCAACGCTGTTAATACCAAAAGTTTGTATAGAGAAAAGTTCTGTTTCTGCAGTCATTGATGGCACTTAGCAAGGAAGGTTTGCTACTGTGACAGCCAGGTGAGCAGATGGACCTTTTCTGTCCTGTTCCACAGCTGTGCATTTTATTTGGAAGAAGAACCTTGCCCGGGTTTGTCTCCAGTAAGCTAGTACTCATCAGATCACTGAATCTCATAAGTAGTATTGTTCCCAGGTAGGTGGACTGATCAGCTCCTGGCAACCTGCTTCAAAGGCATTTTGTTCTTATTTGTCACGAAGGAACATGCTGGACCAGTATTGACTTCAGTGTTCAGCAGGACTGACACCCCAAGGCTAGTTTTGTTTTTCCGAGAGCCAGAAGGGGTTTTTTTGGCTTTGCAGTTCAAAAGAGAATTTCTTGCTGAGTTTCTCCAAGTGATGTGTGGCTTAGAGGGACTCTGAAGAGAATGGTAGTGAGAAGGTCTCCTGCATTGCTAGTGTGTTGGCTTAGCAGTCAAGGAGTGTTTTCGGTTCTTCATTGGCTTCTGCACTTAGATGATGGGGGCCATGTCACTGTGCTCCTGTGCCCCAGTTTTATAAAATACCATCTCACTGATTATCTGGTTGGTCCTTGGGTATAACAAAATACAGGGTTCTTTGCACTGGAGCCTTCAACTCTGCATCAAAGTCCTTTTGTACAGTGAATATGTTAGGAAGTATCGTCATTCTTTCTTGCCTGTTCTGTTCACTACTTCTGATAAAAGCTGAGGTTCTTGTTACTTGTATGTAACATTTAAAGTTTATGAGCATTAGGAATGGGAAGGAAATGTCCAGTTTTCACTGTTTAACCTCACTTGAAAACCTGTAGCTCTAATGGTGGACTAGTGAAGTTGCTAGAGAAGGACATTGTTTTCTGAGCCAAAAAAAAAGTTTAAATTAGAAATGTAGTTTGCAAGGGATCTTCAAAGACCACAAGAAATTCTTGTCCTGGTTATGCCTTGAGATATTACTGGAACGCAATCAAATTATTGTTTTACTCTTTTTGATGTTTCTCCAAGAACATCTTTTGAGATTAAGCAAACAAATCTATCCTGCTCCCCAACTCCCTCCCAGCTTTAGACTGAATTTTTCATCAGGAGCACAACTTCAGGACAAAATGACAGTCAAGAGCTAATATAGTTTGAAGATGCATATAGGAGGTATTTATCAGATACATATATTTTTGTGTGTATATCTGAATCTCATGTGTGAAATTATGATGTTTGTGCATACTTAGTGTATCTTATATCATACAGAATAGTCTGTTAGTCCAAGTCTAACAGCCAGATAGCTTTTGGTAGTGTATTACTGTATTATACTGAGGAAGTGTGGAAGGAGAGTTTGTAATAGGACGGCTTGCTGCTGCAGCAGGTTTTGTTCTAATTTCTTTTCTATTTTTAACATTGTAGTGGATCTTTTGTTATATAATTTTAGGATTGTACTTAAATCTAAAATGCAGGGAAGATATTCCTGTATCTAATTTAGCTATTTTAAAAAATAGTGTCTGTATGAGGATAAGAATTCAAAACGATATGTTTTTTAAGCACCCACCAGATGAGATGAATGTAACTTTAAGAATAGTTTTCAGTCTAAGCAAAATACAGATGAATGTACATATAGAGATGGGAATGAGTGGTTTAGGAACTGTGTAGGAATGAAAGGTGGTTTCTTGAAAGCTGCTGATTGGAACATAAGGGGAACCCTTCCTAAGGCTCTGTGTTCAGACCTTAGCTGTGAACTCCACAAAACCATCACCTACCTCCCTTTTAGCATTTTCTAAAAGCAGTTTTCCCTGTGTGTGCTTTTCTGCTTGTAGAGGTGTGTAGCACTGCTGTTCATAGCACTGTGTCTCTGGCTGCTTGTGGTGTCTTCTTACCTTTGCTTTGTCATTGCTTGTTTGCCTGCCCTGTTCTTCAGGTTTGCATTTTTGCCTGCTTAAACCTTTCGTGTTTTCACAGAAAGTTATGAGGTAAAAGGAAAATGAGTTTTGTCACTTTTTTTAATTGTTTTTGAAAGAGGAATATTTCAGAATCTTCTCAGTGTTATCTTGTTGCTGCTGCTGTGCTTTAATCACTAGATGAACTTTCCTAGGAGAAGTAGAACATGTTTATTGTTCTTTCTCCTGGTGCTCATGCTGGTTTCATTCTGGCAGGCTTGACTTATTGCTGGTTTTATACTATAATGCTATATCAGAAGGAAGTGTCAGAAGCATATGAAAGGATGCAAACAAGTTTTAAAACTAAACTCCAAATCCTAAATCAAAATGATAGAAGTGTTTTCTGTTCCTTGATTTCCCACCCAGCACTTCTTTGCCCTTATCCCAGAAGTGTTAGACATGTTAGACATGAGCTTGAAACTCTTCTGTTTCATGTACTGTTATATATGTCAAATGTTGAAATTTTTTTTAGATCAATTTCAGCTGGAGCAAACAAGAGCCCGCCATCAACTCCTTCCTTCTATATTGCAGGCCCACTCCCCGATGGATGGGAACAAGCTATGACCCAGGATGGAGAAATTTACTACATAAACCATAAGAACAAGACCACATCTTGGCTAGACCCAAGGCTTGACCCACGCTTTGGTAAAAGTTCATCTCAATTCAGAATTATTGATTTGCTTCAGTTCACTCAGCTTTAATTTTGCAGGCCTATTTTCAAAACTTTATAGTACAATTAAAATATATTTTAATTTGAGTTATAGAGACCTTATTTAAATAATAATTTTTTTTAAGATAAAAACTATAAGTATATATCCTTCAGGACTGTACGTTACCCAAATTTCTAATGCTGCGGGTTGGTATTTTGCCATATGATCCATACAGTTCCCAAAAGTGGTGACATTCAGAAATTACTTTATTTAGAGACAGTTTCAGCAAAGCTCATTCTTCCCTTTAAAATTGCAAAACTTTACCACAGAAGAACCTTTTAATTCCCAAACAAATATTTGCTTTCCTTTGTGCTGTCTTAAGAGGGCATTGTCAAAAAATAATTTATGCTGTTTAAATTCACTTGAAATATATACCAGCTTATAATTCCAGCTTGTCACAGTGATGATCATAACAAAACCTTCTGTTTTAAACAGTACGGTGAGAAGATAAATTAGTTTTGTTGTTTCTACTTTAGTAATTTTTTTGTGGGGTAAAGACTATGTAATATTGAAATAGCAATAGTAAGTTAAGTGAAGGATCACAAAATCTAGATGTAGAAATTCAAAGAAACAGAACTAATATTTAATTTTTTCAGTAATGTTTTTGATCCATATGAAGAGCAGAACTGCAGACTTTTCAGTAAAATATTGGCACTGATGACTGTGAAAAGCAATCGGGTATAATATGAAGACTCTAAACTAGTTTTTTAGATTGTCCAAGTAATGTATTTAAAGTAGCATTACCATTTCTGGTTTTGTATAAAGCTGTGACCTGTATGTGTAAGCCTTATTAGCTGTATTAATTTGCCCTTGATTTGTTTTCCCAATAACTTACTATTTTCAACTCCTTTGGATTGTGGTTATTTTTCCAAAGCCATGGAAAAACAGTAGGGGTAAAAAAAAAAAAAAAGAAGAAGATATCATTGTGGTTTTCAGGCTTTACTTTTGGACTCAGTGCAGCAAAATGAAAACAGTGTGCAGATCACTGAGTAGGTCAGGCTGAGGGGATACAAAACCTTTGAAGCTTTACAGGGGTTGACCTAACAACAACTGTGGGCCCCTTTTGGGAGAGGCATTAACTCCATGAATGCCATATAAATACAGAGCTACAAAACTCAACAGTCACTGTTCTGTTTTGTTTTCTGACTTGGCTGTTAGAAATTCCTGCATTTTTTTGTTTTTAGGCTTAAGTGTGTACTTAAAACATCCATTTGCTCTTATGGAGAACACCAGATTGTCACAGTTTGTTTATAAACTGCTCACCAGTTTGTAGACAGGTTGAACCACTGTGCAACTTGAGTCCAAAGGTGGGGCGTCAGCTTTGGCAACTGTCCATACTGGCTTTAACACCAGCCAGAGCTACAGACCTGTTTGCGTGTTGCAAGAGGTGTGTGTGGGTAATTTGCAACTTCACAATTACTTAATATGTGAATAAGGCTGGAAAGGAAGCAGTCATTTTGAAAATCAGTGTTGCCTTTTGCAGTCAATTATATTTACTCAGGTAATCTTGCAGGGTATCTATTTTTCTTAACATGTATTACTTTATAGTTTCCAGTGATGAGCTGGAATTAAAAAGGAGTGTGAAAAAGGCCTTAACTGACAGAAGTCATGAGTGAGATGAATCTTGCTTTTCAGAACTGTTTTGTACTCCTATAAATAGAGTAGTCTCACTGTAAGGGCAAAAGCTACTTGTCTTGTGCATACTGAAACTCCATCAAATGTTAAGGCTATGCAGTTAAACCGAAAGAAGTTAGAAATGTCCAGAAGACTGATTAAGGGTTTCTTGCTGCATAGCTTCCCTTTTTGGGCCCACTGCGTATGTGTATCCCAGACAGGCTTGAGTACATGCCAAAGCTCTTTATTTTGTGGTCGGACTTTTAATCTGTTCCAGACCTTTTCAGTCAAAGAGCTCAAGTGTAACTGAAAGGGGCAGGAAAGGAGAAAAAAAAAGCATGTGGGCTCTTCTGATCTAGAGTGACGGCAAATAGAGACAAGCTGCTAGCTGCTGTTGAGCTTGAAGAAGTTTTCCTTGAAAACTTAAGTTGTACACATTGTATTGTGGTTTATGTTTTTATCGTTTGAGCCAAGAAAATACAAAATCTTATGCCTGTTGCTTTCTCACTTGTGACCTCCTTAAGTCACTCCAGTCATGAAGAAAAAAAATCTCTTTGACAGAGTTAACTTACTGGGCTTTGTATTTATTTATCATGTGGAGATCCTCGACAAATATGTGCTGTGACGCTAAATAGCAGGCGAATGATTCAGAAGTTTACCTTTCTATGCTTAATATAGATTGAAACTCCTATTGGGTTTCCCCCCCCTTTTCTGTCACTGTTGTAACGTAAGGGCTTGGTTTTCACTATTTTTTGACGAATAACGCTTTCAGAAGCAGAGTGAATTCATCTTTGTCATGTCAAAGCTTTTGGTTATTACAGTGATATTAATGTTGATTGAAAATAAAGGAGAAATTAATTTCTTTCTTGATACTGCCACTCTCACCAATCTTAAGAACCATTGAAGAAAACAAAGCTATTGAATGGCATGTGCAAACATACTCTTCTGTTCCCATATTCAAAACCAGAAGGTATGAAGAGTCCTTGCTCTTACTGCTTCTGAGTTGCCAGCTTCCAGGGAGACACCCTTTAGATCTATGTTCCTCATCAGATGGAAACTTTGCATTCATCTTTATTTTCTCTAGTAAGTGTGCATATACCTCTTTTTCAAATAGTGCTCTGAATTTTCCATTATTGTGGCTAGAAAAGAGAAAGGAAGGAGGATCAGTTTGAAGAAATTATTTTAGGTGGACTGACTGACTTGGTAAGGCAAATTTTGGTGTTGCATTCATGCTTTTAAGCAGAAAATAAAAGAATTTAGTTAATATGGATACTTTCTTGGAGCAGACTTTTAGAAATAAATCAGATAAGAGCCCCTGTCAGAATACTCAGCTGTGTGGAGTAGGCTAGGTCGAAAACCTGAGTTGAAGATAAAAACTTCGTTCCCAGACTCAGGTCTAACATCTTTGAAATGAGATTGAGGTCTTCAGCTACACCACTTAAATGGCAGTGAAGTCTTGTGGCTCAGACATTTGTCCTCCAAGTGTATGACATATGACTTAAAAGCAGTTTTGCATTAGGAAAATTCACAAACTTTAAAATCTAGGAGAGAACTGAGTATGAAAGGAGGGTCTTCTTAGCCAAGCACAGGCAGTCATAAAAGGTGACATGGGATCAAACGAATGGGAATGGGGGCGGAGGGGTGGTCCTTAGGCCTGTGTCAGCAGGATTCTTGTCTAGTGGAGCATCTGGTAATAACATGCTGTCCTACCTTCTCAGTGCCTTTAGAGGCCTCAGAGTAAGAGGCTTCAAATTGCGGTTTTTTTGAATGTGGAAGGTGTTTTTTTTTTTTCTTTAAGGTAATTGAACTGTCAGATTGAGCTCGTGTTTTGGACTGTTTTGTCATTTCTGCTGTTGTTCATTGGTCATTCTTCACAGATCATTCCGGATTTTTAAGCCTTCCAGATAACTTAATGCATTTTCTTGATAGTTGAAGAACATCTGGATAGGAAGCAGGTCAACTATGCATTCTGAGTGGCTGGAGTTGGTGAAGTAGAACATCTGCTTTTTCTATAAAATTAAATTTCCTAGTACCAATTGAAGTTTGGAATCATTCAACTTTATTGCTACAAGTTTCCAAGATTTGACTTTTGTATCAAATGCAGTTAAAAGGATTTTAACTGTTACTTTAGTTAGCAGATGATAGGACTTGGCTTTAAAATGCAACTTAAAATAATTTGCCTTTTGAGGATACTTGATTTGTTAAATTCAAAGATGGAACAGCAAACTCGAAGTGGGAAAATTCTGGAAACTGACAGTTCGTTTCTGTCTGAGTTGGGTTAAGTCTGGTTTAGAAGCAGAAAGTACTCCATTAGAGTAGTCAGACAAGTGTCTGCAAGGATTGGAGTAAAGGAAGATACTGTTTCAGCTTCCTTGTTATTTTATTCCAGACTTCGGTTTTTAAAAGTTTGTAAGTAGTGATCATACCAGTGTTACACACAGTCTTCTTCTTTCCGTTCTTTCAATTGTCAAAGGTGCAATAATGGGGTATGAAGCAAAAGATATGACCTCAGGTTGAAATCATTGCCACGACTCACTCTCTCACTCCCACTTAGAGATCATGTTAATATTCTTTGAAGTTCTGCATGAATTTTGGATGAGGGGGAAGGTATGGCAAGTCAGTGTTTAATATTATTATGGAAAGTGCCATAGGGGCTCTCTGTTATAGTAGGTGCTTGAACTGCACAAGTAGGAAATGGAATAAAACTGATGATGACAGTAGGACTATAGAGAACGCACATCAAGATTTTCTGCTTCCTTTTTTATGTAGTGTAAAAACATTACACCTTTGAAACAATAAAAAGGGCTTTGTTTCAATTAGATGTACATGTAATTGAAACGTATTTATCATTTCTATTTTTAAAAAAGGCAAACAAACACACAACAAGCTTGTAATTCACTTAAAAGCTTAAGCTTCAGAGCATCTGCTGTTTTTTAAGTATCAAAATTAGAAGGAAGTATTCCATAGTGTTTCTTTCTTATCCCTTTCCTGTCTAGCTCTTTGTTTAATATATGTGTCTTCAAATTGGTTTGCAGGAGCCTTTCCAGATGGAGATTTGTGGACAAGATAGAACGGGAACCCTAGACTGAAAAACTGGTTTTTGGCTTTTGTCTAATCAAAAAAAAAAAAAAACCAGCCAGACCTTGTGTCTGGTCATAGTAGCATTTCAGACTTTTTAAGTTCCAGATCTGCCTTCCATTTTTGCACGAAAAGCGAAGTATGAGCCACAAGTGGTTTTGATCTGCAAATGCAATGACATACCCTCTTTACATATACTCCTTAAAACAAAGAGGATTTGACTTATCTAAAAGGTCTGGTGGT